ACTCTAGATTTTGGATAAGAACTAGGATAGATAATTGAGGAAACCAGGATGAGGTAGAGAATGTTTATTCAAAAGACACTCACCATTGCAGGCCGGGGTGCGGGCACTCCACTCCCCAGAGGAGGTGCACCAAGTGGCCCCCGTGTTGCTGGGCAGGTAACCCTCATCACAGGTGACAGAGCAGGAAGAACTGTAGCTGAAGTTCCCCAAAGGATGGATACAAGACAGGCTCCCATGTTCAGGGTCCCTCTGTGGTTCACAGGCCACAACTGAAAAAGGAAACTCAATCACTTCTGTCCTTCCCTGCACTGGACAAGATGAACGTGCACAGGGAACTCTTAATTTCTCAGTGTACTGAAAGTGTGCTGTGTGCCAAGCACTACAGATAGATTAGGTTCACATTGTCCTGGGTGCAAGCCTGTGAAGCTGGTACTAGCATCATCTCTAGTGTACAAATGAGAATTCTAAGAACCAGGGAGTTAGCAACTTTTCAAGGTCCCATTGCTAGTAAGCAGCAAACATAAGATTTGCACTCAAGGATTCCAGCTCTATGACCTCAGCTCTTCACTACCATTTAACCAATGGGAAAAGACCAAGGGAAAGAAAAACAATGCCAAGTCAGTTAGGACATGAGATGGGGTCACCATCCCAAGTGAAAGGAGAGATGTGGTCCAGACTTACCTTGCTCACAGGTGAGACCACCGAAGCCGGGTTCACATTTGCAAGCATAGTTATTGATGGTCTCCACACATTCCCCATGACCACTGCAGGATGCATTCGTACAGGCAGCTGTGGGAAACAGAGCTGATAACTAAGAGAATAATTACTGCCCCAACCACAGGTTTACTTAAATTTTTATCTACCATGGACAATGAGTGATACACAATCCCAGTGATTTTAGCTGAGACACTGAACAAAAATGCTAACTGGGACTTTTAAGATCGTGTTTTTTCCAACATAAATGTTAAGGAGCGGCACTACAGGTATAGCTGCAGCTAATGCCAACCACAGAATACTCACCTCCTGACAGGATCTGAGAACAGCCCCTACTATAGATGAACAATTCCTAAAACACATTCTCTATATAAAAGGCACTTTATGTCCACCAAGGGCTGTCGCCAAGTGCTCAGAGCAGAAATACGCTCTATGGGATTTTCAAGGGCTGACTTTTTCAGCAGGGGGGGGCGCCAGATCTTTCTTCAGAGATACTCCGAAAGAACTCCAAGCACCAGCTTTTTTATTAGCAGACAGATGAGTTAATAGATAAATTCTCTCCCTCCCTCCCCCACCCCTCCCTCACCATCTCCCCGCACCCCACTACTTTTACACAATGAAGCAAAGGGAGAAACTTATTAAACAGAACTTTTTAAAATCACAGTGTATGTTTTAAAACCTAAAATTGACACAAAACAAACTGGTTTTTACATAAAGTAAACCAATCATCAGGATATTCTCGCAATGAAAGTATCTCCCTCTGCTGCCCCAAACATCCTACCTGTGTAGCACAAGGCAAACTTGGGTTTGCTGCAACTCTCATCATTCCACTTGCCGGTGTCCTTCTCTCTCTTGATGTAGATCTCCACACAGTCTTCATCATTTCTCTTATTGTTTGGTTCTCCTGGGGCCCAGTTCTTAGCTTCTTCTGTCAGAGGCTTATTGGTCCCTTCCCAAGTCCACACACCATTGACCTTTCTGATTCCAATCCAGTAGTAACTTGATGAATAGTTTAACAGGGAGTTCAAATAGTTATTCTCTTCTTTGTTTTGGATTGCTACTAGGTGTGTGTACTGTCTCTGACAATAGGCACTTGCATCGCTGTAATTCATGGGATGTGGAGAAGTGCTGTAAGACCAGGCTGCACCGCCCTCGATCAGAAGGAACACTACAGGGAAAGTCGGGAAGGAATGGAAGACGTTAGTCCTGCCACATTTAGCAATATTATTTGAGCCCTTTATTTGTCTTAAATTCTGTATGTTTTATACACCTCAGAAGCCAAAAATGTATTAGGATCTGTGATTGGCCTTGGTGAACTCTCCACCGTCACTCAGTCTACTCAGTCTACAGTAGAGTGATAATCAGAATAACTAAGCTTTTTGGTGCATGTCCTGCAGGCTCCCGAATGCTGTCTGTACACTGCATGTGGCCATCACCTGAGTCTTCAGGATGCCTTAGAATATGGATCATTTAAAGTCAATTCTTCAAACCTCGTGAAGGTGAAACACTGATAAGTAAAATAAATCTGCCCCATGAGTATCTGTAGACTCAATTCATACTCATGGGAATCCAATGTGTGCAGAGTAACTGCCTCACAGAATTTTAAATGGCTGTGCCTTTTTTGAAGCATATTATCAGACTTGTCTTCCATGCCACCTCTAGATGGGTTCAAACTGACAGCCATTTGGCCAATTATCAAGCATTTAGAATCTGTGAAACCAGAGAAATAATCACGAGCCCAAGACATAACACAGCACGTGTAAAGACCAGAATTGCTACTAAGCTTATAGGACGGTATCTCATCTAAAGTGTTATCTGACCAATCTTCAGAAGTGCCAAGGCTAACTAAGGATGTTAACTTACCAAAAGCAAAAACAGGTAGAACCTTAGCTGCCTTCATAATTTCAAACGTTCTTTCTCTCAAGAAAGTCAAAGAAATATGCTTTTCTGCAAAGGAAAAAGTTCCAAATGAATTATGGAATGAAATGTTACATGGTTTGTTTTTATATCATTATACACCATGGTTGATGGCTGCATGGTAACATTTTTCAAGAACTCCAAGGTCATAGTCTTTTTCATCAAAGAAACCTGTTTGAATAAATACAAAATTTCTGAGTTTTCATCATTCAGGTTAAAGAGAGAAATTGGAATTTTTACTAGTTAATCCAATAACAGTGTGCAAAAGAATTTTTATTGGAATCCCTTTTGCATGCCTCTTCATATTGCAATCTATGTTCAGTGTCCCAGGATATGAACTGAAAAGGACTTCTGTACTTACCGTGTTCTGGAAAAGCTTTACAGGTGTTTGAATCCTTCAGCAACCCTTCCTCGTTCTGCACTGTGTCACTGATGTGATACCAACCCAGAAAAGTTGGTTTCTCTTTTTAAAGAGCCACTTTACTGTGAACAATAGGATATGACCAAACTGGGCAAACAGGAATTCACCAGTAGCTTCCAAAACATTTCCTGGTAATACTAAACTATCGGTGGAAGGAGGAGTGAGTGGTATCCACTTCCATAATAGCTTGCCTCTGGAAACCTTATGAACCTGGAGAGAGGATGAAAGGCACCCAAGCGTCGAGGACTCTCCTTCATA